GTTGGTATGTCAAAAAAAAAGAAAATTAACTAGAAAGTTATTCAATTTGTTAAGATCATACAGCTCTTTTATTGTGATGTTGTTTTCCATCCATCCATCCATTTTCTTTACACGCTTGTCCCAAGTGGGGTCGCGAGGGGTGCTGGTGCCTATCTCCAGCAGTCAATCGGCAAGAGGCGGGGTGTGATGTTGTTTTGTTGAAGTTATTTTCCTCTAAATCATTTCTTCAATGAAAGGACACACCTGCTGCTGGGTGGAGCATTTTCTAGGATCCAGATCAATCCTGAAAGCTAGCCTGTGCAGAGTATGTTATTGTGACCAACAAAGCTAAGAATGAACCCAGCTTTGCTATATCGGAAAGTCAGGGTTAAACCTTAAGTTGTCTCATGGTACAGGCCTCTACGGACACTTTTAGCACCGAGTTTGTTTCCTTTGGAGGTTCCACAGTGGAAACCAGCTGCGTTCAATCAGAAAACCTGTTAGCATTGCCCTCCAATGTGGAAGCAGCAGCTTTACTGAAAACTATGGATGTTGGCTGATTAGCCAACTGAATTTAATACCTTGCTGCTGAGAGCAACTATAACCACTTTTAACATCCACCCTGAGTATCCAGTTTGTAGTCTGGACGTTTTACAAGATCCTCCAGCGGCTGAACATCGGCCTTATTCAGGTTATTTCCTCGTAGGTCCAGTTCTGTCAGATGGGAGGGATTGAACTTCAGAGCTGAGCTCAGATAACCACAGCTGATCTTTGACAACCTGCAGCTGCACAATCTGAAGAAAAGAATAAGAGATATGAGATTAAGCCAACAGTATGAAGGGTTAAAACAGTTCAACAGAACCATATAGAGAACTTTCAGCTGTCACCCATCCCCACCACTTGTATGTCGCATGTTGCTCTGGGTTACACCTATCCTTGCCTGCCAGATGAAATTTTGCGGTAATTGTGAGTTCATAATTTTATTATGTTTTTAATGGGTTAGGATTAGGGTTAGAAACCAACCTTAACCCTAA